ATAGAAACACTCTGCTTTCAAATTTTTCAAAGTCTTCTGTCAACCCCTGCCCTCTCTCTCTCTCTCTACACACACACACACACACACACACACACCTGCTTCTCTATGAACAGCAGGTGGAGCAATGCCAACTAGGTGATAGAACTTATCTAGCAGGGTAGGTTTAAGACGTATGGCAATAATTCTGCTAGCTTCATTCAGAACAACTACTTTCCCAGTATTTGTTGATTTATACTAGACTGGGCAGGTGTATTGGCCTGCCGAGTAGCAAAGAGCTAGAGCTGTTGTCACCTAATGACTCTAGGTTTGCCTCCCCAGGTGGAATTTCCTGAGGATGCTATTTTGTCCAATGACTTTCAGTTTAGTGTTGCTACAGTGGTTCTTATATGTTCGGGCCCTGTCTAGAGTGACCCCTAAATATTTGTCTTTTCTTCACCACTCACTGCATTGGGAGATTTGAAATTTCAGCCTCAGTTCCAAAGCAGTCAATTGCTGCTTGCTTGCTGGTCCTTGCCTCCAACTGATAGGGTGCAGAGACCAGAAGGAGGCAGAAAAGTAGGTAGAGATCTGTACTCCTCCTACCCCCACCCCTTCATCACACAGTTGATAAGAGTTCTGGGAACAATAGTTGGAAATCATGGCCACAACTTTGTGGATACAATAGAACTAATGGCCCAAAATTTGGACAAATTATTTAAGTTAGCCAATTTAAGATATTTGATTAAAAATTGTTGCCCTGTAATGCACCATTGTGCCCATCTGAAGATAACAAACAGGAGAGTTTTAGTAGTATATAGATATATGTTACGAGCTCTTTAGAAAGAATAGAAAGGGAATTAATTGACTTGGAAATATCATTTTGATTGATTAATCATGTGCCATCAATTCATATTTTTTTTTACTTTTAGTGACTATGTGGATAGATTTCTTCATGGAAATGTTATTTAAGCATTAAACCCTGGAAAGCAAACTTATCAAGTCAAAGAATGTATTCATTTTGGTAAAAGCTATATTGTCTGTTTTGCATGGCATCACCCTTCCAGAACCTCCTTCTATAAATTGAAGTTGTAGTTGTTTTTCAGGATTTCACTGTCCTGTTTTGTTGGTTATAATGGTTTTTATTTTACATTGCTTGTTGTTGATATTGGTAGTTACTTTGAGACTTGTTGAATTGAGTGGCATATAAATGGTAGAGAATAATCAAGAGACTGTGAGGGTTTGATGGGGAACAATAGGCTTCAATTAAGCCCTGACAAGATTGAGAGGCTTTGGGTTTTGTAGTCCTCTGGTTCTAATCTAGGACTATATCCAGTTTGGTGCTGACTGAGTTGCACTGCCCCAGACACAATCTGGAGATTTTCCTTGACCCACAATTCTTGCTTGAGGAGCAGATGGCATTTGTGGCTAGGAGAACCTTTGGCCAACTTTGTATTGTATGCCAGTTGCACCCATTACTTCTTACTTTTGGTTGGATTATTGCAGTATCCTATACACAAGGCTGGCCTTGAAGAGTATCTGGAAACTTCAGCTGGTGCAAAATGAAATGAGGCAAGCAGTTGTGTGTATTTCTGGTAGAACACACATTACACCTCTGCTAAATGGTACTGAATTATTTGAAGGACTGCCCATCCCATGCAATCTCACAGAATGGGTACGCTATGGATTCCATATGGAGACCACATTTGGCAAGAGGGCTTTTCTGCTGATGCCCATTTTATGGTATCTTCTCCCTAGAGGTGAATATTTCAGGCTTGAGGATCCTAGGAGACAGTGAACTCATGAAATAGCCCATTGCTTATCATTCTTCCCTCTATTAGTTTCTTTTTCTGTTATAGCTCTGTTTTTATCATTTTAATTGATTTAATAATTGTTATACAATAGTGATTGTTATTTATTTATTGTTATTTATTAAATTTAAATGCTACCCATCTCACTATCAAGAATACATCTGAGCAGATTTATTTAGCTTTTACTGGATTGTTTTATGCTTCCCAGAGTCTCTTTCCATTAGATGGATGGCCATATACATTTGACAGACAGAGATATAGAACATCCAGTCAGGAAACCAAAACAATGTGTACCAACATTACTTTTATTTTAAGCTTACAGTAGCAGAATCGTGCAAATCTGAAAACACTCCCTTGTTCTCTTGTCTTCCAAGAGGTTTTCTTTACCCCCTTTTGTGGGATCAGGTCTTGTCTGATCATTCCCTGGCTATGGTCTTTTTCTCAGAGCCTATTACACCCTGGAAATTTTGACAGCAGTACAAAATAAATGGATGTTTCTGCAGTTTAATTTTCCTTTTTAAAGCTAAGCTTTTTATTTAGATGTTAGATTTTCATTGTCTGTAGAGTTATGACCACATTAATATTTATTCTGAAGAATTTTGGTTTATTATTGATGCATTTTTGTATAATGTCTACTTTTATTTGTTCTTCCTGCATTATGGCAGCTAAAGTAAGTGAGGTGAAAAGCCAAATGACTTGTTGCTATTTAATAAGACAGAAATTGAAAACTGCTTATAATTTGTGGCTTCAACTAGATCTGCTAACTAGACTTTGTAACTTAGATCTGCTAATTCAGATTTATCCTATTAAGACTTTGCTTCCTCATTAGATCTTGGTTATGTCAGCAGTTTCAGTTGGGAAAGGGATGACTCAAGAGCATCATAAAGTACCACCAGGATTCTCTGAAATTTGACTTAATGTTACAAGCAACTATGACCAATGAAACTGTTTTCATATACTATGATACTAAGTAAACTTTGCTTAATTGTGTTTTGTTGCAAACAAGTGTATACCCAAATCAGATAAATTAGCTTGAAACAGTGAGCTGTATAAATCAGATTTATGTTTACTTTATTATATGCTTTTGAAAATAAAATATTGTAGCTTATCTAGAAAAACAAGGTATAAACAAAATTAACTGGATCCAGTCCAGTAGCCATGTTTTAGTCCCTGGAAGATCCTGTTGGAAGTAAGTCAGATTAACATTAATTTCAATTAAAGTGAATTATAAATTATTTCTTATGTTTCTACTATTGCATAATACTTTAATCTAGACCTGATGTGTATCAGTCTCCATATCAAAGGAAGTGCTTATGACTGTTTAGATCTTATGCTTATGACTATTTATAATCTTTTTTTTTCCAGAAATCCATGCCACAGGGTTCAACTATCAGAATGAAGATGAGAAAGTGACTCTTTCTTTTCCCAGCATGCTTCAGAAAGGTAAAATTGTGTAAAAGTTAAATGGGGCCCTTCTGAGGTGAAAGCAATATACATTTTGTTGCCAGAGCATAGTTCTCCCCCCCCCCCCCCTTTTTCCTTCATTACTTAGGATGTGTTTCAGGAGTTCATTCCATCTCTACAGTTCCAAGATTATTTTATATTTGAAACAAAATTAAACTTATTTTTGTTCAAATTCTTAATATATCTGTCCTCACACAAATTGTAATTCTTGTTTGTTGAAATCCAGTTACCAGGGTTCACCTAACACATTAAACTCTAAACTAAACATACAGTTGGCTTTGTATAAAACAGCAAGTTACAAGCTATCAAGCATAGTTCCACTTTGTTTACTGGAACCATCCTAAACTGAGCATATAATATCCACAATTTAAATCTTATTTGGTAGTCAATAATTATTAGCTAGCAAGTGTAAAATGCAGTATTGTAATAATAATGTATTATTATTAAAACAGGCATTAATTTAGTTATTAATGCCTAATGCTGACATTTGTTTGTCACATCTAGAGCAGACACTTTAGACTTTTTGAACTCAGAAGCACTCATGAGAATACCTAGCCCAAAATATTATGACACATCACCATGTGTATGTATTTTTACCATGCTATGTTGTAACGTTTTTTTAAAAAAATCTATGTTATCTTAGAATAATGTCCGTATATGCTAAAAGTATTTTTATTATTTTCATAGCTAAATTTCTGTTTACACTGAAAAAATTTTTACTCTGTTTCTCCGAAAGTAAGACAGGGTCTTATTTTCTTTTGATCTCTGAAATAAGCACTTGGCCTTATTTTCAGGGAGGTCTTATTATTTTTGAGGTGCAGGAGGCGGCAAGCGTGGTCACCTGTTGGCTGCTGTTGTGTTGCAATATTTTCAGGGAGGGCTGATTTTAGCACATGCGCTCAAAAGTTCATTTGGGCTTATTATCCAGGGAGGTCTTATTTTCAGGGAAACATGGTAGTAGTAACAATTGAAATTCAGTGTATCTATATAAAATGTTATAGAATTTTTGACATCTCTATATTTCAATACAGAATTTTCAAAGGATTAGTATTAATTACTAATAGGTATTTATTTAATAAAGGTTAGAATGTTTTAGTCATTCATTACCATTTGGGGAATGCAGTCTAAGAAAGAAACTTATAACAGATAATAAGATAGCTTATACAAACTGCTTCATAATTTATATGTATGGAGTCTATTTCTTAGAAATCTCTAAAATTATAAGCAAAGGTAAATGAGAAAATGAGGTGAAACCTTAATGGGAAGAAACAAAAAGATAATTAAAAAATAATCAGGCCTGTCAGGTCACTTGTTTGCACACATGAATCTATAATTGAGGATGAAAAAAAGAGAGAGTGAAGACAGTATGTTCCTCTCTAGGAATTATTACCCAGAGTTGAATTAAGTTGAGACTTCATTCCAGCATCAATCAAGATAAACAGCTAGAGCAGAGAAGAACAATTTATAGTTCTTTGCCAGCATAGCTTTTCCTCCTGAAAATACTAGTAAATTTCAACAGTATTTATAAAAGAAGTGTAGTTTTCCATCATCTTGTTGAAAAAGCATGAAAGCTATAGCAATAATAATAATAGTTAATAGTTAATTGTTATAAACAGAAAAACAATAAAAACAAGGTATGCACAACCACATTCCATGTACCCCCCAAAAATAGAACTTTATAAGTTCCTTAAATCAAGGTCTGTGTGAGCAACCAAATTTTTAAGAATTCCTGAATATCACTGAAGTGGGAATTACATGGATATCTGAAGGGATATCATTCCAGAAGGCAGTTATCATGACAGAGAAGACATGCTGCTTGGATTCTGATAAGTAGCATTGCTTGATTAAAGGGACATGAATTACATCAATTCTCCCGTGCGCAGCTTGGAGAATCTAAGCATGGGTTAAATTTAGTCTATCTGCCCTAGGACTGAGTAGATTTTTCTTTAACCATTCCTCTTGTGCCTCATTGAGGTCAGTTTAAAAACTCAGCCATCCCAGTCAGGACTAATTTTGAGGAACTCCTTAGTTCTGTGCAGATAGATTGGGACTCTCCAAACAGATCACAGTAGATTACCTTTTTTATTTTTGTATAGATTGTTTAATATAGGTTAGAATAGAGAGGAAAGAATAAAAAGTTTCTGTTTGTCTTTTAAATTGCTGAGATGGCTGTCGGGGCTCCGAACAGTGGCTGGTCACACGCAGCGGTAAGGAGTGGTGGAGGTGCTTGTCCGGCGGCTGCTGGCGAGTACGGGGGAGCTAAGAGGCTTCCTGACCATTCCCCAGCTGTCCGATCCCTCCTTGAGGCTCCGGGGGCTCGTTTGAAGCTCTGGTTGATCATGGCGGCTCTCCCTTTCTCCCGATGAGCGTGGTGGCCATTTTGGAGGTGCTTTTTTGCACGCTTTTTGCCGGCTAGAAACTGAAGTCCTGACTGACTTCGGAGAGCATCAGAAGGTGGTGGTGGCCATTTTATAATTCATTTCGTGCCTTATCGTCATCAGAAAGCCTCGGGGGGCCTCTGAACTATTGCGCTCAATCTCCTCAGTTGCAGATCGCCGTTGGGGAGCGCTTGGCCTTGTCCGGGGTGCTTCCAAGATCTGCTCCCTCCACCAAGCTCCAGAGACACCGGGAGGGTGGCATTAGAGATTTTGACCACCGGGTCATATTCCAGCTCAAAGTGCTGATCTGCAGGGGCTGTGGAGCCAGCTGGCTCGTGCCTGGTGCCATCCTACTGCTTCAGCCTTGCCTCAGTACCAACAGCGACTGACAGCTTTGCAGCTTCTTCAATGGACATCATGGCAGATGGAGTTTTGGAGGCACAAGGGGACCTGGCAGAACCCTCTTTGAAGCTCAGTAGGCCAGATCCTCCACCAAAAGGGGAGAAGGGACGGAAGGTCACCACAGGGAAGGATTCCTATGGTTCCTCGGCGCAAAAGCTCCAGGCCAGGAGGCACAAGGCCTTAGAAAAAACATTTGAAAGGGCCCAGAGGCAAGCTGTCATTGACATCTCCCTCTCCTGACAGGACGGGGAAGCGGACCCTTTTCCACCTCAGGTGGGTTGGTCTCCATCCTTGGTTGGGGAGGGGGTCTCACTCCTGATGCTTCCTTGGGATACCCATACACCCCTAGCTCTTCCATGAGGGAGGAATTGGAATCCTTCCAGTGCATCTTCCCCAGGAGGAGGACACAGGTTTTGTTAGGGGCAGCTTGCCCCATCTACAGCCAGGCCCACAGAGGTCAAAGGCCTGGCCTAGTCTGCGGAGATGAAGGAGGTTATTGCCCAAGCCACTCCCAGGGCATTGCCGAGGGAATTCGTCAGAAGGATGCCCGAAACCGGTAGATCCTCTAGGCCTTGTCCATCTACAGTTCACATCAGGGACCGTGCCCCTAGCTTCTCCTGGTACCTCTGTTGGCACGGAGGAATCTGTTTGGGGAGAGGAGGCTGCAGAGGATTTTGAATTATCAGAGGATGAAGACCTTCCCCCCAATAAGCCTGCCTTCACTGGGCTCTTCAAGCCTTCCTTGTATAAAGCCATTTTACACAAGGCCAGAGCCTCCACTGAGTTGGGTTCCATCTCTAAGGGTACGGTCGTACCTTCCACCTCTTAGGATCCCAAAGAGGGCCTCTTTAAGAAGAATGCCCCTGCTCAGGAGCTGATCCCGGTCCCTGACTTATTAATGGATGTAGTTCAGCGCCAATGGGCACAGCCCGGTACACTGGCCAATCCCAGATAAAAACTTGTACTCTGTAGAAGCTAAGATGGAAGACATCTTGAAATTACCAGAGGTGGATGCTCCGGTGGTCTCATTGACTTCCAATTTGGCCCTGCCGGCAGACTTCCTGGACGGTCTCAAGGCAGAGGACAAAAGGGCAGAAAAGGCCTGTCATAAAACTCATCAGGCGGCTGTCTGGGCCATCAGCGTCCTTCTTTACGTGGGCATCCTGCTCTGGCTGCACCAGTTGAGATTCAAACCTCCCTCAGAGGGGTCTCGGTGGCGCCATGATCTCAATAAGATCATAACTGCGGTGGAATATTCTGCAGATGCTTCTTGGAACACAGCGAAGTTTGCCTCCTGAGCGCTGGCTTCCAATGTGACTTCACATCACCTGCTGTGGCTTCGCAGCGGATATGAAGGCCAAATGGAAGATGGCCTCAGCTCCCTTCAAAGGAGGACAGCTTTTTGGAGATTCTCTAGACAAGCTATTGATTGAGACGAAGGACAAGCGAAAGGTCCTTCCGTCCACACATAAAAAGAATGAGCATAAAGGATCCAACTCCTTCAGAAAGCAGACATTTCATGCCCAAGACACCGCATAGGCATCTTCTTCCTTTTCCTACCAGAGACCTTATCCAAAGCCAGGTGACAGGGCCCAAGACAGGAATTCCTTTGGGTCCAGGGGTAGATAGCAACAAAACTCCTTTCGGAAACCCTTTTGGGGCGGTTCCAACAACCGCCAATTTAGACGCAGCAAATGACCATCAACGCGTCTCTCCCATAGGCGGCTGGCTACAACATTATTCCAACCAATGGGAGGAAATCACCATGGACACATGGGTCTCAATATGATCAGGGGTGGTCTGGTCCTGGAATTTCTGTCATTTCCTCCGCAGACATTCAGCTGCTGCCCACTCCCCAGAAACCCCCTGAAACGGTCACTCATGCAGGCAGAGATTCATCACTTTCGCTAATAAGGGCCATAAAACACGAACCAACGGACCAGGAAAATAAGGGATTCTATTCCATTCTTTTCCTGATCTCCAAGAGCTCAGGGGGATGGAGCGCCATCTTGGACCTGAAGCAGCTAAATCAGCATCAGGCCTACAAGTGCTTCAAGATGCAGTCACTCCAGTCCATCCTGGACTGCATAAGGCAGGGGGACCTGCTTACTTCCATAGACTTAAAAGAAGCTTACCCATCCACGTGCCCATCCATATGTTGCACATATTCTTGAGGTTCCATTACGACGGGTGGTATTA